CCCCAAAACCCCAAAACCCCAAAACCCCGATATCCTGTATTATTTGAAATCTGATTTAAATTAGTAAATGAGAAAATTAACTATTTTCAATATAAAACCATTATAATTATTATAAATTTAAAATGGAAAATAACTCTAAAATACTGGGCAAGAGAATTTTGTCCTCTTTAAGCATTTCCACTATATTCAGTTATTTTGATGTAAAAGAAGTTATCTAGTTCTAATCACTCTCAAAATATCTATATCAAACAGGAGTTCCAAGATCAATCTTTGAATGTCCTACCATTTATCTACAAATATGTGCATTTGATGAAACATATCAGAATCTGACGGTGTATGATCCTGAGATATAGATGGTACAAAGGTATCCATTGAATAACGATTTCAGGAGTGAATTTCTAAAAGGAATTGATATCTATTCTATCAACACAACCTAAATGCCGAATGGAAAATTCTATATTGTAGTTTCACTCCAGAAAAAATCAGGTAACAGGGAACTAATGATTCTAAGTCTGTCAAACAAAGATATGATAATTAAAAAGGAATACACAGCAACAAAAATCTTTCACATAAATGGAGCAGTAACTTCATCCATAAACAGTATATTTGTATCTGGTAGCTAAGTCGGGAAGACCAAATCTTGTTCACTTGTCCGTTTTCAATCAGATCAAGTAATAGTAAAAAATCTTCCTGAATTGCAATTTGGTCGATATAATCATTCGATGACTATTAAGAATTAAAGATATCTATATGTTTTCGGAGGGACATTCACATAAGATCACATTTATAGTAATTCACCCATCATTGAAAGACTAGATTTAACTCGTGGCAAGTAGTGGCACATCATTCATTTGTAATTCAGGCACTAATTACATCATATAACTACCAATCTTAACTACACATGCCTCGTGCCATTCAATCAAAATGAGATATTAATATTTGGAAAAGACTAAGCCACCCAGATGCCTGTAAGCATTATGTTTGAAGAAGATACCTAACTGTGCAGGAATTTATAGTTCTTTAACATTGATTAGAGATATATACCAATTGCAACACAGATGAGATTTTTAGGATCTTAGCCTTTGATATTTAATGGATTATAGTAAGGACACTAAGATATGTATTTATTTGATTAGAGAGTCGCTTATCTCATAAGATTGAGTATTAAAGGGTAAAATGTCAGAAGCAGTATTATCAGTACTGCTGATTCTTAAAAGATATTATTTAACAGAACGAAAGGTGAGTGAATTTAATATATATCCATTAAAAATCTTTCAAATTTTGATATCTCGGGGTTTTGGGGTTTTGGGGTTTTGGGG